TACCTTTTACTAATGTTCCTATCATAGGGACTACTAAATATTTTTCACTAAATCCAGGAAAATTACATCGAAATGGCAATACCCCTGGAGGACTTGAAACAATAATTAAAATTGTGATTCTGCACCGAAAACATTCATTTTATGTTCGGTGACGGAATCTACCACCAAAATAACAGAGTGATAACGGAATCCCCGCTCGGTACTCCATTCACCGATTTCTTCAAGCCCACGAAAGAGCATATGATTTTGAAATCCACAATTAAGCAATCCAACACTAAATTCACCGTGGAAGAATTGGTCAGTTGCGGGATCGGTCTTCTCGATATCTGTTGAAAGCATCGCACGGAGATCAATCTCTGGAAAACCGAGTAGGAGTGGTCAGTGCCTAAATTTCAGAAATACTATTTTGCAGGAATGAAATGGTCCGTAAGATTGAATTGTTAGCATCATAACTTTACAATGTGACAAGTGATTGTTTTAGCGATCCCCAGTATAAGTATGGAATCTGCGAAAAACACATTAGTAGGTGAAAACTCGGTAGAGAACACCACCCATTTTCTCAAAAATTTTTCATCACCGACAGAATCAGGCATGCTTATGAACGGATAACCGGATTGCAATGGAACGCAGTGTGCTGCACCAAAAGGTGAAGATTGATGAAATTCACAATATCCGATACCATTATGCAATCATGATACTTGCCCTAAGCTGATATGAAGGAGCGGATGACCGGCACACAACAAACAGAACAAGCGATTCGTGCATTCAAGGGGTTGGGGTGCCATAAACTTCCGTTGAAAACGGTTTGGATGTGGACCGAACAACTCTTGGTGAACTGCATGGGGAAATTCAAGATATTCGCTACGGCATAGGTTGGTTGGCGGTTCGACAGCGTCGGACTAATTTACGCTGGAGTTGGACGATCGCTTAGTGGCTGCTGGTCCCGTGGAACTAGTTGTAGTTGTAGCTGTTCCTGTTGTTATCGGAGTGGATGAGAGATGAGCACCATATGAGTCTGGCAAGACGATCAAAATGCATGCAAAATTGCCTCCTGACATTCGCAGGACCGCTACATTGACTATTTGTGTGCACACAGCTTCCACACGTCGTTGCGTGAACAAACAATCTAAATCGAATGTCTTGGGAGAACCGATCTGTACTTTTTGCCTTCCCACGCTACAACCCAGTCCGATTCTCACTGCTTGCCCTCCCGCATCAATATTTATCGCAACTCAACGGTTTCCTATCTGGCTCGTATTCTCACTGACGCGATGAAGATCCGCAACGATCTAACTTTCAACCTTCAAAGATGAACACCTGTTTAGGTTTCATCATTGTTATTTATGAATTTTCATTTCATTTTTTATCCCATTGTAACGGTGAATGTAGGCACAGTTGCCTGCATAAGTCATTTATAATATAATACAATGCAGTGCAAATTACGGAACATCTTTCTTTCTTATAAAAATAATTATACTGTAATTTGTTTGGCGCACAGTCTGAACTCAGACGTGCGTGAAATTAAAAAAGAGCTTTGCACCGAGTGCTTCATGGGGTATTAAGTTGAGGTGGGTACACCACTCGACCCACGGTTGATCCCTACGGAAGTTAAAAACGAACGTTCGGCTAGCTTATCTAATGTGTTGCGTAAAGGAACAACTTAGAAAACACTTAGCGAAACACCGGGGATGGAAAATACACATAAGTGCAGTCCGGCATGATTTTACGAAGCATCGCTCATGTTCTCAAATCTGTTATGCTTCTTAAATGATGCTACCGCAAAGATATACGAAGGCAAGACCGCAGAAGATTGCTACCCAGACTTTTAATTCAGTTCAGTTTGTACAACCTTTACTCACGCACCTTCGGGTAGCGGTTTTGGGTATCTGTCTTCTGGCTGACCAGTTGGATGAAGAGACAGAAGATTGGAAAGTTGAAAGTAGGTTGGAAGTAAAAAAAAGGAGAATCCCAGTAGACTAAGGTTACAAAGAAATTAAAGATATCCACGTGCGCCGCTATTTACGACACTTAGCCACATCATTCAGTGTTTCTAAATATTTATTACAATGATCCCGAGGGCCCCGTCCAGAGAGCTTAAAGCGACCTATATGACCGAGTTTCCTGGTCAGGGCTTTCATTCCCTTATCCCAGATTTTAGTCTGATCAAAATTGGCTTTCCTCGACCCACTAAATGCTTCGACAAACACCAGTTTTCAGGTCTCCAAATCATCGTCTGCTGTTGTCCAAACTTGAAAGGTTTGGAATCCAAGAGGATAAGTGCTTTCTGTTCGGCTGTTATACACACACAAGGAGCATTCTTTGTGACAGCTGTTTCAGCTTAACCGCGGGATTCTGCAAGATTCAGTGTTAGGGTCGCCTAACACCGTGACACCTTCTTGCTACGTTTTTGTGGATCTGTGGTCTGCTCAAGTGGACGAAGGGAGTCGGAGTACCTAAGTGCGATAGACTTGGAACCTAAGTCACAAAAGAGACGACGGCAATAGATAGATCAGAGAGCAAAGCGGAACCAACAAAACAAATAAAGGATATGGGAATAAGATTGTATCAATAACTTCACCTAACCAGATCGGTGCACGATAACAGCGCTAGCACGCTAGTGTTGAATCATTTGGCCTATGGTAAGTTCTCCTATGTGTAAAACCGGAGCTCTTTGGTCCTCTGTAAAAGGCAATAGGAACATCATAGTTGTTGTATTGCGTGCAGCCTTGATTAACGTTATACAGAAAGGATGCAAACTGTCTCGGGATGCTTCGGAGATCAATCAACACAATGGCTGAAGGTCAATGGGATAGAACATATTGGGCAAGAATACAGGCGTTCGGGCTTTTCCCGTGGGAAAGGAAGAGAATAAAAGCAGTTCTGGTCCAGTTGACTCATGGTTTGGACTCAGACGTGTGTGAACTGCAGTACATAGCACAACGCATTGGGATCACTTGACTAAGATGAACGATAAATATACGGGAGAGTCTATTCTATGCAGACGTCTTACATGATTGGGAACGACCGGACCACGTGCAACTGATAGCCATAAGCATGGAACAGCGGCAAGAGGCAGTTCGGTTGAACGAAAGACCGAGAAAAAGACTAGAAAGATAGTATGACATCGCCAACATTTGGTGAAAAAATGGTGAACAACAGGTGGAACTTACCCGTAATCGTTTGTAACAGTGACAGTTAAGTAACAGACGCATACATTCCAAATGACCGCGATAAGCGGCAAAGTGTAGAGGGCTAAAACCGTACTCGTCCAACGGTTGAAGCTCGTCCGACGCGGTGGCTCCATCCAAGGATTCGCCTTTAGCTTTCAGGCGTTCAGTAATGTGTGAGATGAGAAGAGCCAAAGTCCCGGTACGCCCACATGTCGCAGCCATGTGCAACGCGTGACGACCACGGAAGTCTCGTGTTGAACCGTGAGCTCCGTGCTGAAAGTGAGGTGAACGTTGGACCTCCGTTAAGGTGAACGGGTTGATACTAATAAAAAGCGTGTTCCTCCAGTGCTTCGTTGACGACAATGTAAATGTAAATTAAAAATGCCCATTGAAAACAAACTCCGGTAGACGAAACAATCTTTTTCGATTAAGTCATCAACTGGTCATTTTATATAGGGTTATGTGGATCCGGGGAGCTGGTTTCGATCGTATCGTACTATGTACAGAAAGTATGCTAAGTTTATTTACCAGCTCCTCATCTCGGCTAGGTCATTGGTGTCCCCCGAGGGTATATTGTTGGATTTCTTCATCCGAGGCCATGGCAAAGCTAAAGCCCGAACGTACTATCTATGGTTGCATAGGGGGGATACAATGATTGACCAAGGAAACCGGGATGTCACATGCCCACACAACCTATGAACACATTCTTCGGATTTCTTTTTGTTCATATGTTGTAGAACGATTTGCTAGTTCTCTATAATTGGTTTCGTGCTGAAATAATAATACAGTGATTGGACAGCTATCGCCTCGGTATTGCATAGAATGATAAAGCGACTTTGATTGATAGAGATGAAGACACGTGGTAAATGATGCAGAAAACTTTATCAGCATTAACTGAGCGCAATGCATCCAGTATGTGTTGACAGATACCGCTTTTCGCTGCAATTTTTGTATAAAGTAATGCTTATGAATTATCATGAAACCTAGATGATTATCAATGACTCAGTGGCGTACAACAATGAGAACTGGTTTGTGTGCAATGTTGCCAGGATCTACGAGCGGAAACAGATGACTACCTTGGGGACTGAAAGCCAGAGCATTCGGCTAACCAAAGCCTCAAGTGCAAAGCAGCGAGGCGGTGTATGAAGGCCACCGTGCACTGGGTGCGAGGGGGAGGAGAGTCAGATGTTCGGTCAGAAAAATCGACTTACTGAGTGCAGTTATGGATATANGGTGTCCGAAAAATGTTTTCCAACAACCCGCGGTTTACAGTTTTTTCTACGAGAAAACTACTCAGTTTCCGCGAGTAGAGAAAACGAAAAGGGGTTTTTCATAGATAATGAGACACTGATACCTGGCACATTTGGATTATTCCGATTCCGATCTCTAAGGACTTCAGGTCAAGTATACCTCGAGGAAGGCGAAAAACCGATTCAACCGGTACGCATAAATCGATTTGCTTTGCAGAGAGAGAAGGTTGGCAACTCACTGAGAGCAAAAGTTTCGCACACTCCACATGTCCATTTGCAACGGCACGATGTAGTGCAGTACGACCGTATACATCGGCCATGTTCACGCGATAGCGATCCTCTCCGGACGACGGTGACGTAGGG